ATTTGCCCGACCGGAATATGAGTGAGCGTCCTGAACGCCGTACTACACTGGTTGCAAAGGAACTGGAGCGCTACAACATCGACATTGCGGCTCGCTGAGCAGTAAGCTACATTAGGCAGGTGCTGGATATAGGTTCAACTGGGTGGCCAACGCCACCTCAGCACCACGCGAACATGGGACCAAGTTTGCACCATCCGATCGCCTGAATGGCCAGCTAGTGGGTGAGCACACTGGTATCGGCGCGCGAATGATGACTGTTCGCCTACGACTCGGAAGAAGCACGTTTACTACCTTTATATGCACGTGCGGTCCGACCATGCGTCATCCTGAAGACACGCTTGATGAATTCAGAATTCAGTTATCCACCCCGCCCCCCGGTTACGGTCTGTGCCGAGGAGCGACCGACTATTTCTGCTAGGTGATTTCAACGCGCGCGTTGGGCGTGATGCATCAGTGCGGACAGATGTCATCGGTCCGCATGGCATTGGTTCAGCGAATGCGAACGGTGACAGGCTGCTCTCACAGCTTGACGATCACAAACACTCGGTTTGCACTGAGTGCGAGTGACATAGCAACTTGGACACATGTACGGAGTGGTCACGCTCACCTGCTCGACTATGTCATCGTACGTCAGCGTGATATGTGTGGAGTGCGCATTACAGTGATCACAAACTGGTGCGGACCAAACTGTACACATATTTTCGTAACTCTATGTATTGCACTCCTGCCGTGAATTGGCGTAAATTTAACATACTCTCCCTCAGTACAGTGGAGAAACGTAATGAGCTGGAGAAGGCGATGGCTGCATGCCTGTGTGATGTGGAATGCATAGCCACAGTGGGCGACCTGTGGCACCACGTTTGCGACCAGGTGACAGCTGCTGCCGAGGAGACCATCAGGCGCGCAAACTGTAGGCGACCCGATTGGTTTGATGAGAACAATGCGACGATTGGCGCATTAGTGTCTGAGAAGATTTCAGCATCTGCTGCACATGTGGCAGACCCCAGTGACTTGGGGAAGAAGAGAAATATTGGGCGAATTCGACGACGACTGACCCGAGGGCTCCGTCGCATTCAAAACGCATGCTGGAAGGAAAAGCAGATAGAATGCTACACCGAAAGCCGCCAACACGATTTTTTGACACCGTGTAGGTGGTGTATGGACCAAGGTTGGAGCCGCAGAGGACGCTGCTTGATGATAGTTCAAGCGATGCCTGCACAAACTGCAGATCTGACGCAATCACTATGATTGTCTCTTGAATAACCGTTAAAAGATTGACAGAATTGGGTTGCACGGGCTGTAACAGAAAAAGCTGAAGACGTGTCTTGCCGATACGCAGAGGACACTTGCTCAGCTGCGAAACGGCAAGTGTGCCGGTGCCGAAGGGATACCGCCTGAAGTATTGAAACACAGCGGACCCGCGTTAGTGACTGCGCTGCACCACTTGTGAATCGAGGAGAAGGTGCCGCCTGAGCTGAAGGATGATCTAGTGCTACCACTGTACAGGAGTAAAGGAAGCAAGCAATATTACATGAATTATCGTGGCATCAACTTGCTGAGTTATGTGGGCAAGGTGATTGTCCCAATCCTGTTCAACCGCCTCGTCATTCAGGTTGTGGAACCGAACGTGGCGGAAGAGCAGTGTGGATTCCGTTCGGGCCGCAGCACTATAGATATGGTGGTTGCGGCTCGTCAGTTGCAAGAGAAGTGCAGAGAACGACACCAGCCATCGTACTCGCTTTTTGTTGATTTCGCAAAGGCATTTGATACGGCGAACTGCGAGGCATTGTGGCTGGTGTTGGGTAAGTCTGGTTGCCCGCGTAAGCTTGTAAGTTTAATTGAATATCCGCACAGTGGTATGCGAGCGAGGGTGCAGCTGAGTGGAGAGATCTGGGATGACTTTGCAGTTGTCTCTGATGTGAAGCAAGGCTGTGTCTTAGCTCCTGCCCTGTTTAATATTTATCTTCATGCAATAATGTCTTGTGCTTTTGATGCGGCTTGTTCTTACGGTGTTCGTGTGGAACACCCTATTGATGGTGGGTTGCTGAACATCCGTCGTTTTGGTGCGAGAACCCTAGTCTGTGAGACAACTATCCGCATATTGCTGTTTAATGACGACTGTGCGTTGTTTTCACACAGCGCGGATGAGTTGCAGCACATGACTAGTGCTCTGGCTTTGAAAGCGGCCAAATTCTTGCTCACCATCAACGCAATCAAGACTATTTGTCTTTATAAACCTTCACCCGGAGTGGAATCTGTGGGCCTCCACGAAATCCAGGCTGCTGACGTAGTGCTGGAAACCACTCCAGGATTTTGCTACCTTGGGCGCGTTACATCAGCCGACTTGTAGACGATGAGCGAGCCGCGTATCGAAGGCGGCTGCTGCATTTGGCAAGCTGGAATGTCTTGTGTGAAACAACCATCAGCTCACTGTTGGGAAGAAGCTGTTGGCATACGAGTCTATGGTGCTGTTTGTTGTTCCATACGACAGCGAAACCCAGACGCTTCATGGAAAGTATATATATATATATATATATATATATATATATATATATATATATATATATATATATATAGAATTACTCAACTCCATAGGCAAAGTATCACATAAACGGTTAATAGCAGCCATTCCTACTAAGTTTGCTATGAAAACTACGAATCATCAAGAAATGCACAAACTCCACAGAGTGGTGGCATCGTCAATAGGGACAACATATTGGAAGGAAACTAGGAGACCGTGACAGTCAATCGTGTCGCAACAAGTGGGGTATAAATATTTGTTCGAAAAGCTTAAAACACTGAGACAATTGTAGGCAACATGTGTTGTTCAAGTGGAGGTGATCTGAAGTAGAACGCTAACAAATTGCAAGTCAGATTGATAAATCGAAAAATGCAGCAGTAGGTAGATTTTGAAGGATGGAAAGGGAAATATTTAGGAGACGTCTGCTTAGGTAATGATGACCAGTAAGAAAGGTATTACGGTGCCGCAGTTGTAAAATCCTATCCTGATCTGGCAGGCGTATGTGGGAAGCATGACACGGAAAAACCAATAAATCGCAAATGAACTCAGACCGCGACCGGAAGAGAAACACAAAAGCGCGGTTCCGGTTAAACAGGGGGCGAAAACAAAACGAGATTGGAGTGGAAGAATCACTGGGGAGAACTGAAGAATAAAAGTAGTTCGGGCGCCGAGGTATGGGAAAGAAAAATAACAGGTAACGCAATACACTTTGGACACGGAGGTGAAACGAAAGTGAACGGAAGGAAATACACATAATACGGGGATACTGGACACGCATGAAATTCTATCAGCTGTCAAAGTCCATACGACGCAGAAGGGGAAAAGATGCCTCGGTAATAGCGACAAGTAGTTGTCTACCTAAGGGGTTTGAAATTGGTAGTCAGACAGAAGTAGTATGAAACCAGGGGAGGCATGAATGGTGAATCAGAAAAAAAGGGATGTAGTGGAAAGCAGTGAGTTTACAAACGCCTCTTTAAGCAACGAGCATTTGACAAAAGGCAATGGGTGGGCGGCAGATAAGCAATAAGAAGGAACAGGCTGCAAATGAAAGCGGTTTACAAGCAAAAAATATTAGACAGGACTGAAAAACCGCTGGCAAAGGGGCGATTGCAGATAGCCAAGGACACAGCCAGTTACCGCCGCAAAAGAATCCGAGAAGCACGATCACGGGAGAATCGAGTTGAAATTCCAGTACAATGCTGCGCAGTGATTGGAGCATTCCAGCGGTTTTCGCTCACGAGCTACTCTTCTTGCCCTTACGCTTCGAGCGAGACAGCGAGAAGAGCATGAAACGCTTCTTTGACTTTTTACGCTGTTCCTGGTATAAGGAAATAAAAGTACAAAGCGACACCAGTGAAAGATAACACTATAAAACGCATACGACCACAATGGTAAACCGAAATAGTTGGTGATGTAATTTTATCTCAAGAAAGAAAATAACTCCCATCACAACGAAGTCCTCACGGATCGGGAAAGATAAGGTATTCTCGAAGTAAATACACACGAGTGGAGGACGAGATATCAAGTGGCCGAAGTAAACTTAGTCCATGCAGGGCAAAGTAGTACCAGATGACCTTTTGAAGATTGAACCTGGTATATATGTGCCGGAGAGAAAATGTCGGAAGAATTCACTTTTCACGAACATAGAATGCTTTCGACATTACAAAAGTAAAACTTTAAGCTAGTGAGCGTTTGCTACTGACCTCACAAAAATAATTTGCTCTAGGGTTACAAATAGGCTCTTCCAAGAGTGTTACAGCTCGACTACGTGGTCGAAAAAGTATATTCTTAGAAGTGGTGGATTATCAAGAGATACTCTCGTAGGTTTTATCGTCAATAAATATTTTCAAGTGTGGAACTAAATGCCCTTCCACCCGACTATTGCTAGAATAACCACTATCAATTGATATATGAGCGAGATTTTGAGTATTACAAGCATTGCTAACTACTGTACTGCGTGATCGCATGGTTGAGCGACTGTTGCACGCGCTCTGTAGTTGACTTTTCGATACTCTGGTATTGGCTGATCTCCTTACATTACGCCAGTAGTAAAAGTGTTGTGAGTGCATGTACCAAAAAGTGAGACTTATTCCCACTTGATTACACTTGACCACGTTCGACAGAGAAGGACTAACAGACGTAGTAAGAAAGGAATAACGACACAGAGTGTGTGTGAGGAGAAGGAACAGTAAAACTGTCACAGACAATGTGGATGAGAACGCGTTATAGAAGTCAGAGCGCTGCTCACGCTTTCATTGGCCGATCTAAAACCCAAATACCCCCCAGTGTAAACCAAATCGCATTACGGCTAGTAGAGGGCATCGATGAGGCAGACTGATTGTCACTAACAAAGATTCCTGCACTACTTCAGTTCACGAATATCAGTATATTCAAGATGTGTTAAGAAGTGAGTGTTAACTCGTTCCCAAGCACTAACTTAAACCGCAGGTTGAAAAAATGAGGGGAAAAATGAACTCACCCCAGGTTCGCCCAAATCGTCGGTTCCACTAGGTTCAGAAGTCAAGGTACTCGTAGCGGCCGGAAGGCTGAGGTGAGCTAAGGGAGCAGAGATAAGGGGTTGATTGAAAGAAAAACAACGGAGGATAGGAGGTAAAACAGCGGAAAATTGTGATTGCGTGAGTAGTGGTGATAAACTGACCACCACATAGGGTAGAAAATGGTGGTAATAAAGATGTCTTGCTCAGATGGTGCGACATTACACACCACGACTGATTTCGTCCACGTTTGAACGCTTCAGACGGAGATAGATAGAGTTGGGAGTCGAACCTGGAAGATTGTGACCTGGCAGATACAGCATCGGATTATGAATTTCCGAGTGATAGGTTAATTAAAACGATTACGCGTGTATATCCGCACCTGCAGCAGGCACTGTGTGAGCAGACTGCGAATAATCACGAGTTGCACCATGATTCGCTGTGAAGTAAGTAACGGCCGGTGATCACAGAGATCATGCTCGAAGCAGAGAGGTGAGGTGCACTTTGGTTATCATTCTTGTTCACGTTACCAATTTTCTCATCTCGTAAAGTGATATGTAAAGAATCCGGAGTTTCGAGTCGAACGCGCGTAGGTCGAAAAAGCTAGAACGGATTCCAACGGATGCAGAAAACGTTATCTGGGGAGTGGCCTTTGTATTGCTGGTTCGAATTGACCTCCGGCTATCCGTACACGAAATGTCAACATCAGTGTATACGGCAAAAATCCATATATTTCAGCTGCAGATTAGTAAAGGAAATCACCGAAGTTTTCCTTAGATTGCATGTGTGGTCCGCATAAATAGCGGGTACTCCAAGTCACGTTATAAAACTAATGCAACCAAGTGAAGTGACCTTCACATGCTCGGGACTAAGGTGTAAAGATAGCCCAGCCGCCGACTATCGTTGAGCAGAAAGTATAGTAAAACCTCCATAAGTTGACCAATAAAGGAATTGAACCAGAGGTCAACATACAGAGGTATGGATCCATAAGGTTTACATGGTGAACGTTGGTTTGGCGGGGGCTTCAAACTGGTCGTTGCTGTTGCCCCTTAAGACCTGGTTTATTTTACGCTATATACTGCGGACCTAAAACTTTTGTTGTTTTACTTTACCAGTTTTGTTTAACTGAACTACATCCCAGTTACCAATGTTATCCAACTCCGCCGATTTTTTGAAATCATTTCGAAGTGCGGCACGTAAAAAGCCTTTTGTCGATTACGGTCATAAAGCCAGGAACAATGTCAAACGGATCGTAAGAAAACATTCTGGCAACACGAGGAAACATCACGTCGTTTGGAAAGTTGGCCTCAGACGATGTCCTCTGGAGAAAATGCAACTACCACCCATGCACTCTAGCAATGCGCGTTCACTGCTAGGAAAAATCATTGACCTCACAGCTCTTATATAACAATAGGCAAACATAGGTATTATTAGGTTACAATGAATATGGTCACACACCGACATTGAAGATGGTGTCATAAACATCAGTGGATACCGTGCAATTAGGTCAGATCACCCAGATAGGCCAAGGAATCGTTATGGCGGCGTCACTATGTACGTTAGCCAACTTTGGTGCAACTGAGTCAATCAACAATTTACTCACTCTACAAGCTGTCATTCACTTGAATACAAGCCTAAATTTCGCAGTGAATTTCAATCCGTTGTTATCGGAAACTTCTACATCGCCCAGGACACACCATCGTCCGAACTGAGGCTTTTGGTTGGACAACTTTTTTGGTATTGCTGCCGAAACCAAAATGCTCGCCTGCATTGTTATCAGTGATCTTAATAAATGTGACAACGTTCTGTAAGTCACTTGGTCATGTAAATTAAGTAACTTTCCTGACCAGACAAGACACAGCTTGATATTGCTTACACAAACGAAATTCCTGTTTTACATTCAAAAGCGTGCACCACTAAGTAACTAGGACCATTGTACTCTAAAGATTTGCCGTCATCTACAGTCAAATCAACAATGCCGCATATACGAAACGGCAATTCAGGACCATCCGACGACGTAATTGTTAAGTGAAAAATATCGCACGACTTTACACAACGCTTTCTTCAACTAAGAGTTATCGCTTCATTGCAATCATCGCGCGAGTTCCGTTAACTTTTCCAACTACACTGTCCTATCAAGCAGAATGATTTTTTCACCCACCGTTGAAACAACTTCGAAGGAAAAAAGAACGTGCTTATAAGCTCAAAATGATTACCCGCGTCAAAAGTAATTAAAGCTGAAATAACAATACTGAACAGGCTACACGTTAAATCGGTACTGGGAAACCGTAACTGCTAGGATCTCTGGAGACTGTTGACGCAAATCCGTGGTAAACGTATCATCGGTTGTACTGGAACAGTGGATGTTGATAAATACAATTCATATTTTAATTCGTCTCCGTCGAACGCCTTTCCATTACCCTTCTCCAATAGCTCAAGCCCAGCCGCCCAATTCGACCAAGGTGGCGTCAACAGAGAAGTCAAGGAGCTAAATTCAAATAAAGCTAGTGGCCCTAATAGTTTATTACCTCTGGTTTTGAAGCTGCGCGCCGATTCCCTTACATTACACCCAACTGATATTTTTTAACAAGTGTCTCACGACCGGTGCCATCCCCGACATCTAGAGGTCAATCAGAATAACGCCAATTCCTAAAAAGTAATCTCAAACGTTTTCGATCAATTGTGTGTATATCCGTGTACTTAAAAGTCCTTCAAAAGCTACTATTTCGAAGGAGTTTCATAGACACTCGTGTTGATGATGTCTACCAATTTGCGTTCAGACCCTAGCGCTCTACGTTAGATGCAGTTTCGTAGCTTGTGCAAGTAATAGCTTCTGCGTTGAATGGAAAGTGCGGGTCCATCCGGCTTCTTTTTCTTGACTATTCAAATGAGTTCGGGAGTCTTGACCGTTTAGTTCCGCTTAACCAACTTAATTTGAACGGAGTCCACCCCGGTGTTCGCAACTTATTGGTGAGTATTTCACTGAGCGTACGCACTTTACCCAGTTAGTTAAACGGCAAAAGCTCCTCTATGCTCCTCGCCGACTGTGGCGTTTTGCAGAGCGTGATTCTTTCATCCTTTTTATGCTTTTTAAATGTCGAAATTCTCCCCACACCATCAACATTCATTGGATGTAAATATGCAGACGATGTTGTCTTCGGGTGCAGAGCTCCCTCCACTGATATGTCAATGCTTCAATGTGGTTTAGACGAATTTGTGAGTTGGCCATCAAACAGGTCCCTTGACCTTAATGCTTTGATACGTACCGATGCAACAATTTCATTTCTACGCCCCGATAGATTGCGTGTAATATTAGATGTCACTCCTATATTAAATTTGGAGGACAAAACCATGTCTTTTTCGTCCACTGTCAAGTATCGCGGGGTGTAATCTTTCCAAAACCTCTCATGGTGCATGCACACTTTGGAAGATTTTCACAAGTTTCTCTGTACCGCCAAGTTTAATTTTGAGATGTGTAGCTGTACTGTTCCCCAGTAATTTTCCCTGGACTACTGAAAAAGGACTATGTTTTGATTGTGCGATCGAGTAAACATATTTCCAGATGTGGTGGCTTGCCTAGAGATTCCATAGTTGATTTTATTGCTCGTAAGCATTTCGACGCTTGCATGAATTTTCTTTTAAGGCCCTTGGTGACCGTTTTAATCCGCTACATAATATTCTTTCACAAACTTTAGCTGTTACACACATACGCTAAAAAGTTAGGATTTCATTCTCTCGCACTACTTCGTATCGTAACACAATCTTGACTTGTTTGTCACGCTTTCTTGTCGACCCTAAAGCCATAAATGCTTTGCGCATGCGGCTTCTTGAATGACATTCACATACCTTTGTCCACCTAATTCTTCAATCTATGTTTACGTACTTTTAACTGGTTCTATTCATTTAGTGTACCCACAGTGACAGTGTAAACGTTGATAATGCATCCAGTTAGGAGTATAAAGCCCCTTTTCACCTGATCTGACTAGTTCAAAAATGAAGAAAAATTGATCGACAGACAGGTGGTCAGAATCTAGAGGTGGTTAACTTCCGAGGTGTTACAGTACCACAATGAAAAATCAAAATGGAAATGATCTCCTAAGTAAAAATGAAGTTACCCAAATGAAAGAACCGAATAACAAAAATCTGGTTGGGAAAGCTGAAGCATCGTCTGCGTTACACGCGATCGGCAAATAAAGCAAACCCGATGAGAAAGATGCGAAGTGACTCAATCATAGGTTGCAAGCAGAGGTGGAAACATGAGATGGAATCGGTTTCTTGTTAGTCGATAACTTATCGGGTAGAGACACAAATCAACTACCTAAATACACAGCGTATCCCTTATATGACGAAGCAAGACACATGAAATAGTGGAATATTAGCAGAAAAAAGGAGGCTAGTATAATCTCCAGAGTCAGTGGCTATGTGGATGTTGACGTTAAAGCGAGTTAACGAGGAGTACGAGATTAAATAAGAAAGCGGTGCAAAATGATTAAGTTGGTAAGGATATCGGTCATATTGTTGAGTTTTTAGAGCACGCGCTGTCCTAATTGCCATACACAATCTCAACTGGAGTCATAGGCTACTTTGAAGCAAACTTTTGTCATTTCAATCACTGTGACTGCGTCCGAAGTGGGGAATTCTAGCAGTGAACACCATAAGGTAGCGTTCGAGCGTGTGAACCTTAACAGCCGACAAGGTCTTGTCCTTCGTATGCCCACCTACTTCGCTGCGTATCGTCTGCTAACATAACGTGGTTGGGTCAGTCGATGACACAGCAAAAACGGACAGAGAGAGGATCCAAAGTCTGAATGATTGCCTATTCCTTACATAAATGCACTGGAATCAGCCAAATCGACAGTTGCGACAAAGTTAATGAAGATTTTGCATTCGGTCTAAGGTCTTTAGAAGTTAGACGACTATAATTCATTCACACAAAATCGACTATTGCTTGCAGATTTGTTTGCTTTCACTTCAATTCTACACTATAGCTATTTTTCTGAGTACAACAGCAAGAAACATGGCAAATGGATCGATTGAGCTATCGTGCAAACACTGCACCTGCAACACAAAACATTAAAAATTACAAGTGCCTTGAAGGCTGAGATGCCTCTTGTGGCAAGTGTAGAAGCTAAGGGAAGGTGCCACAGTGACGCGTGAGGTGATAATACAGGAAAGCACGGCGCAGAGTAGGAAAGAAGTGGAGTACAGTGTAGCACAAACCAGCGTAGACGACTGAATAAAAGTTCAAATTGCTAAAACGAAAGAACGGGACTTGTATCCATAGGTTTCTGGATAGCGAGCAACCACGAATGAACTACGGAAGACGTGACGGTCATGCATAGGATAAAAAGAAAGTGTGAGTGATAGGGTGAAGAAACAAAAAAAACCGTCATTTCTAGCAAAGTAATAAACCGGCGACGCCAGATTAATGCACAACTGCAGCTCAACTGACTTGGTCCGGTGTCACTAGCACTTTCTAAATCGGTTGCACCACTGTCCACAGCGAGCGAATCAGCGGTAGTCGGAGAATGGAGAGGTCCAGTGTCTGCGAGCGCAAGGCCACGGCGTTCGAATTCAGCGGACAAATAGGGATTGTTCTTTAACTCAACTTCTCGCCTATACAGCTCCAGTTCCTCATCCGTAATGCTCTCGAAAGGATTCTGATGTGAGTACAAGGCCTGAAAAACAAGAGCAACTACCCGATAAGAACGCGTAGAATCGTCTAGGAAGGTGGGTAAGAGTAGAAGAGTGTTAATTCGCGTTGAAATGAAGTAGAAACTACTGATGAAAAGTTGACAGGCGGGCTAGTAGCTAGAGAAGTGCAGTGAAGTCAATCGAGTGCAGTAATCATGAGTGTGCTGAAGTGATAACCATATTTTGTGGTAGCCGACTCATGAAATTAGTTTCCTCCGAAGGAATGGCAGCCAGCATAGTCATTAACTATGCAAAGCAGGTAATTAACTGGTATGCAAAGGATGCAACATGTCTTTTTAACAATGAGAAACTATGCGCCGGTTTGGTGGATTGCTGGTTAGATGCAACACATAGACACACTGATCAAAGGTCACTTACGTCGTAAATAACGGCCACATCTCGGACGTCCCGCTGGATGATAGCTTTACTGGCAGCAGCAACCGGAACACTTGTGACGCCGCGAGTAACGAGTGCGGCAGCCTTCGACCCAAGAACTCTAGTCAGACCTTCGTCTCGAACTCGGCGTGCTTCGTCCCAAGTAAGGCCATCTAGGAGTCGCGACTGTGGGCCAGCAGTATTGGTATCACGGTAATACTTTGCCTTCACCTGAAAAGAGTGGAAGATAAGCTAAGCAGAAAAACTAATATAGTACAAAACACGGAGCTGGTGTGTAGTATACAGTTCGCTAACGAAATCAGTGAGCACAGTAACCGATGCTCCAAGGATGTACACATCTGGATAAGACGGAGTCCGTCGCGTTGTACCAGTTCACACGTGCCCGTGGTGAAGGGCAAGTCAGGTGCACAAGCAGGTACTTGTCGAAGAGGACGGTAAGACATTGCGTTGCCTTTCTACAGCGCGGTACACAAAGAACCTGAGAGTACAGCTTGATAGCCAAGTTTCAGTGGACTCTGAGGACCTCAGCAACTCCGAGTGCCTCATTCAATTCGATCAAGGCAAACAGCGTACAATTATTTGACCTGGATATGTTATTAATTCGAAATACATATATGTATTTTTACTGTTTAGCATCATGAAAGCTGCTTTCATTTCTATGTCATAAAAGTAGCAGGCATGTTAGTACCTGAATTAGCAATACAGAACCAGAAAGAATTAAGTGACAAAAACTATCCATCGTTACCACGTTTTGAAAATGCGGCGCAATTCAGCTTGGCTTACCAAGTTAAATCGAGACACCAAGCCGAAAGATTGAGATAAGTAACGAAAAATCACGAAATTGAATGCAATATATGCGACCGAGAACCATTCCAGTGGGGAAAACTGGTGTTGTATACATATGAGAACATACTAATGTAGTCTGTGTTAGGACATTTGTAGCCCAAGATGGAGAAAGCACTGACTTTACGCTGTTGGTCCCGATACTCTCTGGGATTAGACCCGGGAAGAGTGAAGGAGCTGTAAGCAGAAGTCCCCGTGGGTCTACCTCCGGTGCTGCCAAGTGAAATCGCTGCGGGAGTGAGCGGGTGAAAAGGTGCAGGTGGTGGTAAAGCTCCATTCAAGATAGCCTTTCGAATGTTATCCTCTCGCTCCGAAATCCAATGTGAAACCGGTTGGTGATCCGGAGAAGGCCTGATTAACTCTTTCACATATTTATTGGGGGTGTTCAGCCAGCTTTTCTGCCGGTATTCGCGCCCGCAAGACCTACAACATGAAAACGAGACTGGAAAAAATGCGATTTCTGTACAAAACCACTCTGATTTGGAGATACCTAGTTACCTGGATATTTATTTATCCGAGCCAAAAGTAGTAAGAAGGAAATGGCCGAATAACTAACTGGACCGCAAGGGAATCGGTTGAGCGCATCGAAGCACCAGCTGAAACAGATGGCGTGTCGACGCCTAAGGACCACACGTTAGAGTTTGTGGGGGACTCTAATGGGCGTGGCGTTGGAATGGGGATGCCACATGCGTTTCCATACTAAAACATATGTAGGGTGAATGAAAGTTTTTTGAGCATGGCACAAAAATCTGATAGTCAGATAAGTCAAATAAAGTTTTTTGATCGTTTACCATCCTTTCTTATCCATGTATATATATATATATATATATATATATATATATATATATATATATATATACATAGCAAACGCTTGGCCATCATCATCATTATACATGTTAGCTAGATATGTAAAACACCTCAGCTACTGTGCCGTAAAACATAAAAGAAAGAAAGTAAATACAATAGTTGCATGCCAGCAACGTATGGGTATGGTTCGGTAAAGCCAGCAGCCGGCTATTAGGCAACAAGAAAAATTATGGTGTAAAATTATATTATGCTACGAAAACACTTGGCCAACACTAGTACAAATGGCGGCGCCACAGCATATGAATGACAGAAAGGAACCAAATGTAAAACTGCAGTTATGGGAATAGGGTCTTGCAACGTGTCCGCCATTGGGTGCCATTTCTTGTCATGTCCGATAGTTTAAAGTCATGTGTGCTCGTATTCTTTTCGCCTCAAGCCTAGGACTCGAGAATACACGATCCCGGCCAACATTGACGTTAGAGCTTTCACACTTTGGGCCAAAGTTATTCTTCGTCCACTTTGCTTTCACGTTCAGCTGATGTAAGCTCGCACAGAGGGAACACTGAGGCAAACGCTGACTTGCATGCGAAGCATATGTCCAATCTGCTGTAGCTTGCGAAAGTATACAGCTCAGTGGCAGACAGAGTTTGTCTGATTTGAAAATCCTTCGACGAATGTGGTCATTGGCAATGCGATGTTAGCAACGTACTTCGGCAATGCTCCGAAGGCAGCGGATCGACGCAACGAGATTGGACATTAACAAGTGCGATGGTTCGCGTACCTCCATGATCCATTGAGCTATAATGGGTGCTGCCTCCGGGCCCCGTGCAAGCAACTCATACCAGGTTGGTTAATGGTTAGAGGTTAGATACACAATCTCCTGGTCCTCCTGCTTTGGGGGTTTTAAAGAAAATGGCGTAAATTTCTGTAAAACTAAATCACTGTCACCTCCCCGCTGCCGCGAGATCAGGATTTTGAGCCATAGGCTTTGGGTGAAGACCGTAATCGTCATCTTATCTAGGTTTGAGCGCCCTGACGGTATCTCAGCCCACATACAACCATGACAATTTGTCTAAACTCCAACTACATGCTGCACCGGCCGTCGGGCAGATTAGCAAGGGTCGCCTTATCTGCTGCATACAGCAGGGCGGACAAGCAAAAACATACTACTGCTGACGTCTCCCTTCCTTCCTTTCCACCTGTTTCTTTTACTCCAATCTCGACCTCCATCACTAACCTTCCTTCTATAATTTCCAGCTTAATTGACAGCAACCGAAGTGCCACTGGAGTTGAACCATCTGCAGCCACCTTCCCGCAACACCCACCGGACGCCTATCGACAACAGCCGTTTACAAGGCCACGCTGTCCAGTTTCCATGGCGGCGTACAACGTTCGTACTCTAAGACAAATAGCTCAACAGGCTGCACTCGCACGCACCTTGGACACACTGGGTATTGATGTGTGTTGTGAGTCCGAAACTAGGATCAATGCCCCTAATGCAGTTGTTGAATTAACTGCACCCGGCTTATCCTCTTGTTATTGGTTGCACTCATCCGGAGACACCGATGCAGCACTCACGGATCAAGCTGGTGTAGGTATCATTCTAAGCTCCAAAGCTGAGCTATCGTTGGTTGATTGGATTCCTGTGAACAGCCGTTTGACGACGTCAGCTAAGGTTGATCCACGAAGTAGTACAAAACGCCGTTTGTTTGTGATTTCCGCTTATGCTCCCACCTCCTGCAGTTCAAATGCTGTCAAGGACACATTCTATCACGAACCGAAAGCGCTACTACGCAGTACTACTAGTTTAGATATTATAGTACTTACAGGGGATATGAACGTACAAGTAAGGCTTCGGAGCTCTTCAGAAGCTCAGCTGCTGGGTAATTATGGGAATACTTCTGAACGGAGTGACAATGGCGAGCGTGTGCTACAACTGTGTGGAGCACCAGTTGCTTCATAGTAGCACTGCTTTAGACAGTGGGCGGCGAAGTGCCACTTGGCGTCCTCCTGTAGCTAACCAGCCATGGACCCAAATTGACCACATAGCCATCAGTTACAGGTGGCATGGTTCTATCCTGCATTGCCGCTCGTATTGGAGTACCTGTGTCGACTCTGATCATGCCTTCGTACGCTGTCGTTTCTCCATGAACTTTACCGGTAGGTGCACCAAGCATCTGCTCCGATTGGCAAAGGAGAAATTGTCTCAGCCCTCAGTTAAGCAAGCCTATGAAGACGCACTGCTTACTGAACTTTCGCTCTCTTGTCCTAATGACTCTGAGCTTCAGTTGAAAACAATCTATGCCGCCATGCACGACGCAGGAGCCTCTGCTTGTGGCACAATCCATCGTCACCGCACCAGTCAATGGGTAGCCGAGAGGTCGGTGAACCTGTTGGAATCCCGAAGAAATCTCCCGGCTGGCTTTGAGCGCAAGGTAACCAGACGGACTATTAGGCGTGAACTAAAGCGAAGCCTGTGTGCTGACAAGGAAGCCTGGTGGACCAGTCGGGCTCAAGAAATAGAGGCAGGCGCAGTAGGTAAATACCACAAGCTGTTCCAACTGATCCGCACACCTGGTCTGATAAAACCAGGCGTCAGTGAGATAAACAGAGACAGCGCGAGTGCGCTGATACACAGTAAGGAGCGCCGTATGGCTTGTTGGGCGTAACACTTTAAAGATCAGTTCAGATGGCCCCCTGCTCCCGGACCTCTTCCTACTCAGGTGATGCAGGACGAGCCATGGACGGTTAGTTTAGAACCTCTGTCGGAGGCAGAGGTCCGAAACGCGATCACAGCCCTCAGTCGTTTTCGTGCCGCTGGACCGGATTTCTTCCCACTATTTAAGGATGGAGGTGAGGTTTTCTGCAAAGTACTGACCTCCCTATTCGAACGTATCTGGAAGGAAGATAGTGTCCCGGCTCATTGGAACGGATCGATTATAGTAGCAATATACAAGAAGGGCACTCGCACTGACTGTGCTAACCACAGGGGTATTAGCTTAACGCCAGTTGTGACAAAATTACTGACTTCGGTTATCGTTCGTCGCCTCACTGCGGAACGAGAATCACGGATTAGGGAAGACCAGGCAGGCTTCCGCCAAAGACGTGAGTGCATTGACCACAAAATCACTCTACAGCAGGTGCTAGAGCAGCGCCACGCATACCGCAGACTTACAATAGCTGTGTTACTCGATTTCAAGAGTGCGTTCGATTCAGTCGATCGATCGATTCTGTTCGAAATACTTTCGCGGAAAGGTGTTCCCACGAAATATCTGAACATCCTTCGTGTTCTGTAGTCGAACACTACAGGCCGCGTCAGGGTCTACGGTGTCCTATCGGATAGCTTTCCGACCACAAGTGGCGTTCGTCAGGGTTGTCCGATTTCCCCATTTTTGTTCAATTTCGTCGTGCATTCTATCATGGAGTGTTCCCTTGCGGAATTTCATGATGTAGGCGTTGAAGTGCTGCCTGGTGAAAGGTCAGTTGATCGTGATTATGCGGACGATATCATCCTGCTTTTCGACGATGTTGCAGTGGCAAAACCACCCCAGAATAGCCTCTCTAAAGTGGTCCTATTATTTAGAATGTGCTCCACACCTCCAAAATGCAAAGTGTTGCTGCAGGACTACGAACCAGTTTATGACCCCTTGACCCTTGCTAACGAGGAACTCGAGGTTGCTGACCTATTCATTTAACTTGGCAGCTGCATCCGCAACTATGGACGCGCAGGAACTGAAGCCAGTTCACGCATTGCAAGGACCAGAACTGCCTTCTTGAAACTGTGGCATCTTTGGCGACAGAAGGGAGTTTCCTTCCGTCTGAAGGACCGTGTTTACAAGGCCACAGTGAGGGCCGTCCTGCTCTATGGGAATGAAACTTAGCGCCTTCGGTCGGAAGATCTGACGCGCTTTCTAGCCTTGTTCATCGTTGTCTGCGAAGCACTGATAGTGTCGGATGGCACCAACGTGTACGCAACGATGATTTGCGTAGACGAGTATTAGGTAGTGACAATCATGCTAGCTCCCTGGTCACCGCTTATTTAGGACGGCCTTGTTTAGTATGCTAGATGTAGCATGGCGCAAAAATCGAAGGGGACAGCAGTTGAATTGGCACCGGGAAATGGACGCACTGAAGACCAAACTAGGTGCCGTTGGTCCTTCTCGCCTTGTACTTGGCTCGAGACATTACAGAACATGATTCGCAGTTGTCACTAGTGGCGTGTCTGGTGTTGTCTCCTAATCGGGTTGCCTGTTTAAAGTGTGTTTGGTGCTGAATTATCTGCGAGGTAATGGCTGATTATGATGCGGGGCAGTGAAAGCCGCAAGGAAGCTGTTTCGCCGATGCCGCTTTAGCTTTGAACGACAGCCAGCTGTTTGTGACGGCATGTTGTCTACACAAGGTGTAGGCGCCTTGACCCTGAATGTTTGCTTAGGGCGGTAAGGTTTTTAGGTAAGTCCCCCTTCTCTCCCTTTTTCTTTATTCCTTAGGTCATCATGGTTGTATGGCAGCAAAGCATCAGTTCAAATGGCTGGTGTACTGCTGTTGTTGTTGTTGATGATGATGATGAAGGCATAGGTGATCAAAAACACTCAGCCACCGGACATCCTTTGAACTAA